GTAATTTCGAAATAGCAATAAAAAACTAAGAAATATAACCCTATTCTTAAGATACCCACAACTAGAATTAATTAATAACTGAAACAGTACCAATATCCTATAACCCAAAARTTCTGAAACTGGCATAGGAATTGGAGAATTGGCTTATCAAAAAAAAAAATAGAGAATTGGCTTATTTCCCCATGAATTCTTTCCTTGCTTCTTCATCTGTATCACTTAACATCTGTAATGCCATGTTTATCATCACCTATAATAACAATACCTTTTACATAGACAAATAAAATAATCTGCCCTGATGATGTCTGTCTACAAAATACAGAATGATGTGTGGTTGGCACTTCTTCAACCCAAAGAGATCATAGTGTCAAAGTTACCGAACCAAGTACTCTCCCTGACTCACCTTGAGCAATAAACACGAGTGGTTGCTCAATCTCAAGGTTTAAAATGTCGGTGTTGATGGAGAWAGAGGAAGACGAGCCAGAGATAGGCAGGAAAGGAGATGATTTGAATGGAATGAGAAAGCGGAAWGGCAAGGAGAGATAGATAGATAGAGACTAGAGAGATAGAGAGAGAAGATCTCCTTAGAGTAATTAACTTCTATGTCATTTGGGTGTGGGGCTCCTATTTATAGAATTTAGTATGTTTACCTGAAGAGCTATGGAATATATTTGGTCGAGATAGGCAGGAAAGGAGATGATTTGAATGGAATGAGAAAGCGGAAAGGCAAAGAGAGATAGATAGATAGAGACTAGAGAGATAGAGAGAGAAGATCTCCTTAGAGTAATTAACTTCTATGTCATTTGGGTGTGGGGCTCCTATTTGATGGAGATGCCAGTCATCAAAATATGGGACATACRTCAGAAATGTCAGATAGAAATATTGTAAAAATATAGGCATGGTGGAAATATTATGAAATATGTGGAAATATACAATGATATTATGTTAAGTGATAAAAGAAGCATTAATACACCATTTTAGACTATTATTGTATTCCTTGATCTTTTTTTTATTTAAATGCATCTTAAATTTTATTTTTAAACTAAAAATAATAAATTAACCAATGACTATTTAAGTAACTTATTTGTTACTTAAATAGTCACGGTGTGTGTGTGTAGCTATGGTCACTTGTATCCCTCTTAAAGTAGAAGCGTGGGAACAAAACCATCCTGTCCCCACCTCATGAATCCTCTATGTGCGTTATACAATGTTGAAAATAACCTTGTATGAACAAGGGTTTACTGTCTGCCACTGAACTGAAGAGAGGGTAAAGGCAAAGTTGAAGCTAGCTGAAGCACGAAGACCAAATGGGATTTTTTTTGCTGATGCAGCCTCTCAGCTTTTACAGCTCACTTCTCCTCTTCTTTCTTTTCTTTTTGCCTTTTCCTTTTTCCATGTGCATTGGATGATTCATGGTGCACACTTGCACCTTTGAGCTTCAAAGTTTCAGAGGTAAAACCACTTTCCTAGAATTCAACTAAGATGCAGAATTGGCTAAGATTTGCATTTTGCCAAATTCCATTTCTATGGAAATGGACCCAATTTGAGGATCCAGTGGTTTGCAGAATTTACAATTCCATATTCTACCAGAGTTATGTAGGATCTTTATCTTTTAGAAAGGACTTATGGTATATTGAAATTAACTATCATGGAGTTTATTATTCCTTTACACCTGTTTTGTAAGTTGAGAATCTGAGATGTGCCCATGCCCRTGATCTTTAGAAATTGTAGGTTTAGAATTTAATTGTTCATTTGTCTTGCTAGCAACAGTATAATCTTTTGAATCTTTAAAGAGCATAATTGTGATCTGATAGACAGAATTAGGACTAGTATCAGTGAGAGTAGTCTTTTACGGTTAAGTAATCTCGAGTATGTACCATTTAAGCCCTTCTTTTCTGCAAAAGTGAATTTATTTTATTAAGTTTATTTTCTATAAAAATTCATCTTGTCCTTATTTGCATCATTGCTCTCTCATTTAGTACTTATCAAATTGATTTGTGGGCTTTATTTGCAGTGGCTGAAAGAGGCACCTGAAGAAGATGATTGATGATGCAACCAAACTTACGCAGAGATG